CCTCTTGGGGGCTATTCATGCACCTCCCTCCTCCCCCCGCCCCCCCCCTTATACCCCCCTGCCGCGTGGCCCCCCGCGCTGCGTCCGTGGACTCGTCGAATCACCTGGGAAAAGGAGAGCGAGCACGAGAGTAGGCCTTTCCCCATTATGCTCAAGCGTCACAAAGCACAACAGCATCTCGAAATTTTGGGCAAAAGTCGAGCATATTTGACCGATTTGAGCATCTCGAAACTGGCCGAAAACTTAGCATAAATTGCAATTTTGGGCACATGTTTTGAGCATTACGGGCCCATAAAGAGAGCATATGCTTGCCTAATGAAAGGAGCAAATTATGTCCAAAAATAAAAAAAAAGTGGGGAGAAAGGCTAGAAAAACGCCAAAAACACAATCATCAAACACCAACGTGGACAACGTGTCACGTTCCGTGGGGTCACAAAGGCAAACTTTTTTACCGTAAGGGTGTGCAGCAGTATCACACATTTCTGAAAACCAAAGAATCGGAAAGAAAATAGGACCGAGAAATTCTCCAACGCGAGATACGCATATATGTATGAAGCAGACCACAAATACGTACTCACTGGGTGGGAGACGAGTGCTCGAGAAAAATAAACAAATAAATAACGCTGGCGGGTATGACTAACCGCGTGCGAGCCCGGGACATCCAACGAACACATGTACTGAGCTTTCCAGCAACCTTCGCAAGGATATAGCGCAGCACGAGTTACGGTATGGGCTGGGGGGTGGGGCTAAGGCCAGCAGCTCCCTTCACAGGGGAATTCATTCAGTAAACATGTTGGATGGTACTTGGAGCATGCAACCGCAAGGAAAAAACAACCAACACATGAATGCACTAAACAGACGAAGCAGGCCGTCATTGTCCAGCAGCCTTTTGCGGGGATACAGCAGTACTAGCTTGGCTTTGGTATGAGCTACGGTATGGGCTGGGAGGTAAAGCTAAGGTTAGAATAGAACCCCGCTTCGTAGTTTTTTTCTGTTCAATATATAAACGTGTTGGAGAAAGCATCCTATCAGGGAGGTTGTTGGGCTAGGGTAAGGGTTAGGGAAACGGGTCTGTGTATGTATCCATCCCCTCCCTGTGCTACTTCCTCGATAAACGTAAAACTTAAATTACTCGCGAAGGCGGCCCGCTAGAATCAAATAGGGTAGGGTCTTAATTCAATAGGGTAGGTTCACGGCAGACAACCCCCGCTTCTCTTTCATACACATCCCGTTCGACTGTGGTCTCATGTCAGAAGGGTAGGTCGTCTTCCTGTCTGTGTTTTATGCTTCCTAATACACCAACAAGAACATGTCGTTGTCTTCTTCGAGGGTTGTTGGTGGTTGCGCCCTTCCACTCGCGGCAAACGCGAGCAGTAGCGAAATCATTTCCACAAAATGTTCTTCTTCCTCGGGGGAATCGTAGAACACAGCTTGATACACAAAAGATTACCCCAACGCTCACGTGTGTAAGATTGAACGAAGGAAATCTGGGGTTAGTGGGGCGGGATTGAATCGTGAAAGTGGCAAGGTAGGAAAAAAATTGCGGGGAAGTTTCATCGGGAGATATGGATAGGCACGGTGGCGATGACGTATCGGAGTACATCTTCAGCCAGCAGCAGCAGCAGCAAGAAGCAAAAAGAAAAGTGCACACTGCAGTTGCTTCTGTGAGACGAAGGGGCGAGCTGCCGTAGAGGTCATCGCGTGTGTGTTAGGTAAAGGCCAGAGATGGGCTTCCACTAGGTGATTGGCCGGAAAGTCCTCCCGCCATCCCTCCCGGGGTTTCGTGAAAGGGACCAGGGGTAGCGAGATGAGGTTTGACAGCCTGCCTAGGTTTACGTCTGTGCGTGGTGAATGTATGAGGAACCCGGGCAGGATGTGGCGTGGGGTAAGCCCGGGTGACGTGACGAAGTCGTGGGGGTCCACGACTCAAAAAATAAAAAAAACAATAATAACAATAATAATAATAATGATAATGATAATAATAATAATAATAATAATAATAACAATAATAATAATATTAATAATAATAATAATAACTCGTGGGGGTCCACGACTCAAAAGTAATAATAATAACTCCAGATTCATGAGCATAACAAAATACGCCAATTCACTGCCGAAATTTGTCTCGACCTCTCTTGTATCTGGGAAGGACACGAATTCCATGTTTTTGTTCTAGAAAATATAAAAATCGAAACACTATTGAGAGTTATTCGAGTCATACTTGGATTTTTAGCACAAGCTCTCGTTCGGGACTGCTGTCCATGTGCATGAAAAAAGAAACGTGTCGAGGATAAGAGTAGACTGCCAGCTATTTTCTTCAGTTTGCTCATTATGACACAATATTATAAACCCATCTCTTTCCATGGATGAGAGTCTAGGACAAGTTGGCAATGAATTCAAGCAGCAGAGCACTCCCTGTGTTGTGCGATTCCCCGAGCTGTCTGTGCTTTTGCGGTTTGACTCAAGGAGAAGAGTTGAGGGAAGTTGGGTTGTTGTTGCCTTCACATTGTAAAAATTCCGATCTCTCTGCCCAGGATGTACAAGCCTTCATCTCTCCGTACTGATCTACACGTACCTTGCGTGCTTCCTACGATAGTTTACCATAAGACAGAACACGGTATCCCGCTAGTGTATACGTACGTACTGCTATGTGTCGCAGGTAGCGGTGCTATTGTTAGAAGCAAGCATTTCCAACCAATAACGGGTCGCTGTCGCCGTAAAATAGAGCTGGTAATTATGCCGTTCTGCCGCAATAGAGACAACAGCCGGAGTTGCAAGCATACCTATATGATACCTTACAAGCTGCGCCGTTGTCGCCGTACAATATGCCGTCTAAAGGTACAAGAGCCGACCCCTGGGAAACAACGGTGTGGAGCGGTGTTCTGAGTCTGTGGGCGGAGTAGGGCGTGGGGGGGGGGGGGGGGGGGGGGGGGGGGGGGGATGGTGTCCTGTCTGCTTGGGGGAGTGATGCGATGCTGCAGCTGGTGCATGTCTGTGTCTGACGCAAGACGCGTGCGGTGTCTACGTTTTGGCGTGGTTTACTATNCAACAACCTGCTGCTGCGGCGGCGGTGTTGCGGGTGGTGGCACCCGTAATTCGCCGACCCGTTCAATCAGCTTGTTGCAATGCCTACAAGTACACACGATCGCGTGTGCCCAAGCAGAATAGCGAGAACCACACACACGACACACGACCACACACAAGGACACAGCTCGGACACAGGTGCACCTACCCATGCGTGAAGGAGGACTAGGAATCACGAGCAATGGTCTCATTCGAGAATCGGCTTTTGTGGCAGGGCAAGCGCTGGTGTTCTCCAAGTCAGTGCAAGCATCGACAGGATACACAGTTGAGCAATGTCTACCCCGGCTTGCCCAGCTACCGACAGGATTGGCTCTGATTGACTCGCTGAAGAAGCTAGAGGAAATAATCACCAAAGACAAGCTTGAAAAAGCTGTTGGGCAGTCATGGGCTAAACTTGCCACAAGTGATGAGTTAACCCCCGCCCTCAAAGGAGTTTTCCTGTTGGAAGCAGGGAAGGCGGGGAAACCCAGTGAAATGGAAAACCTGACGTAGAACATCAACCACCGTCTACCTACAGCCGAAATGAATTTGGTCAACACTACCAAGTCTTTGGAGCCCAAGCTCTCCTTTCGAAACCTCTTCATGCAGCAGTGCGCCACATGGTGGAGACAGACTTGCAGAAAGTAGTAGGCGAGGAAACGCCAAAGAAGAGGGCGTTGATCCGCTTGGAGGAAGCGAAAGGCAAGGGAGTTTTGTCGTGGTTGACAACGCAAGGGTTGTCAGCAGATGAAAGAATGCTGCCTGATCTATATCGAGAGTCAATCGGTCGTGTACTAGGGACTCACGATCGAGCAGACTGCGACACAGGCAACCTTTGTGGAGCAGGTGCATTGTTACCATGCAAGGACCGCTTGAGCCGAGCCCACTCCCTCGTCTGCACCAAGACCGGCGCCTCAACCTTCCTCCATAACAGGACGGTTCGAGTAGTCCTCAAGACACTGCGCGAGTGCCATATGCCCATCGCCGTTGAGGATTCTTCCCCTTTTACCACAGGCACTGGTAGGGGAAAGGGGCTATACAAGATGGATTTGGTAATCCCCCCAGGATTACACGCAGGAGAGAAGGAAGAGGACCTCTGCACCAAGTCCATTCTGATCGACGTANAGGCTATACAAGATGGATTTAATGATCCTCCCAGGACTACACGCAGGAGAGAAGGAAGACGAACTCTGCACCAAGTCCATTCTCATAGACGAAGCAATCATCAACCCATCAACCCATCCGCAGGTCGAAGCATCGACCAGTCGATGCAAAAGCCACGATCCGCCCTCGGAGATCGAGCTGCAAGTAAGGCAAATAAATCACTATGCGGTAACTTCAACCCGTCTAGATCTACCCTCCTTACTGCTGCTTTTTTAAAGAATGGTAGTCTTGGCAAAGGCGCCAATCGACTCATCGTTGCTATCGCCAACCACTTGGCGCACAAAGCTTTTTGCCGGGGGAATTTCGACGACGAAAGAGCCTTAACTCGCCTGAAAGCTTTTGATACTAACAGGATTTGGAGACGGTTTACCATCGAGCTAGCTCGTTTTCTGTCGATGCGAACTCGCGATGTGTTCAAACGTCATGGGCTACTGATCGACCAACTTCCACCAGGGCCAATCGGTTGGGATCTCTGCGACAACGATAATAGTGAGGGTTATTCTTTTGGGAGTGACGGAGACGAAGGAAAGGGAAAGGGAACAAAGGAGGACGAAGACGAAGATGGAGGAGGAAGACATGGAGGAGTGGAAGAGAGCAAGGGTTTGAGCCAGATGACCTTCCCCAAAAGAAAAAACGTAGGGCTGGGGAAGAAGTGCCCAGAGATTCTTGTCAAAACGAGGATCAGAATGGTGGTAGCGAAAACAAGGAGGATAATGGTGAAAGTACTCCTAAAGAAACCCGAGTACAAGGTAGTAAGTAGCCTTGGTAGACGGGTACAGTTTTCTTCTGTTGCTGCTGTTTCTGGTATTGATCCGAAGGATAGTTTAGCCTACCCCATGCTGCCCCCGTCAGGGCAGAATTGGGGATCCAATCCCTACGGTTGGGAAGAGATGCGAGGAAGCTGACATGGCAGTATCGCATGTGCGGGATGGGAGAGGAGAGGTTGCCGAGAATTGTATGGGAGGCGAAGTGGGCAAACATTAAGAGGGGTAAACAACCCACGGCATGGGTCAAGGTTGTAGAGGACGTATGGAAGGGGCTCGACATCGACGAAGATGAAACGCTGGAAACGGAGGGTCTACAGGGGTTCAAGGAGAAGATATCTGTTGCTTGTGCCGAGAGAGAAGAACAGAACAGAAGGAAAGAATCCAAGGATAAGGAGGGTCTAGAAGTGTACGGAATGGTGAAGGAAGGAAAAGGGTTCAAGGAGTACCTACATGGACCAATGGATGCAGGAATAAAGCTTCAGGTCAAATTCAGGAACGGGGACATAGGCCTTCGAGAACGTCGACGAAGACATACGACGGTAGAAGACAAAGACGACGAGTTAAGTGTGATTGCGGCTTCGAATGCGAAGACCGTGTTCATGTAGTCGCGGANTAAAGCTTCAGGTCAAATTCAGGAACGGGGACATAGGCCTTCGAGAACGTCGACGAAGACATAGGACGGTAGACGA